ACATTTGAATATTTTATTCCACCGGCAAAATCTGCTGATGCATTTGGGAGGTCCCCGTCTCTAAAAAGCAGCCGGGAACAGAACCTGGATCCACATTGCCATCCTGTGGAGCCTCCCCGACAGCGCATGCTGCAGACACCCGAAGGCTTCCTTTACTCTGCCATTGATGTTTAATACAAAAAAACTTTTCTAAGTCACACAATCAACGGAGAGTCTCACACACAGGCTGTGCTGCTGCCAGATATAATTTTACAGTCCAGGGCAGCCGAATCTCTGTTGGGATATCTCAGCAGCAAAGACAAAAAAAAAACCCTTCGCCCTTAAAGCGCCGCTTCAAATCAGAAGCAAAACAAATAAATACACTTGTCTGTTCCGTTTTACGAGAAGTACATAACTGCTGAAGTGCTCTGTTTCACATTTAAGACCACGCCGGACGGGCAAGGCGACTGAACATTTATTGTGCATCTTTTAGGGCAGGTTTGAAGAACGGTGGGCCAACGGGGAGAAGTCTGAAGCTCTCCTACTTAAGGACTGGCAATTTTTTTACACGCAGGCATTGTACAGTTTTGTCAGCCTGGCGAGCTTCCAAACGTGAAATTCCTTTCAGGAGCTGAGATATTTATCAACAGGCTCGGATGAGTCACAGAGTTCTTTGTGGAGTGATTAATGAATACCAAATAAAGCGAGCCACGGAAGGATGAGTCACGTCACCGTAATACCGAGGAAATAAAAAATCTGGCCCTTCTGGTTTTCACTCCCTTCGTGGCCTTTTCTTTGCTTGGTCCCTGTTTATTCTCATCATTCAGAGACATTTCCAGCTAGTGCACTTCAACTTTAGTTTCTTTAATTGATTTATTTCTGTAGAGCTGATTCACAGATGAAGGAACTGCAATTCCGTACAGATCAACCACGTCTTGCATCTCATACGTTTATCAATTTAATGACTTTCATTCTATTTTTTATTACAGTGTTTTTCCTTAACCTTTGCCCCAAGGAGGGAGCCATATAATTTTTTTTCCTCGTGTACCTTCTTAAAATAATCATTGCTACCAAGAAGGATGGGCCCAGTGAAATCAGGATAAAAATGTTCAGAATTCCAGTCACAGGTTGGGTTAGCAGAGAGGGGAAAACAAACAAACAAACAATCAACAACCTGTACTATGAACTGAGCAATTTTGTTACCAGCATCACTGAAAGAATAAATACGCTGTCACATAATGTCAGTGATTCAGAATGAAGTGTTATAAACGTCAATTCTTACAAACTGTGGTGGCAGAAGTTAGAAAAATATCCTGGGTTTTTTTTTTTCCGATCACTGTGTAAAGGTGATTCAATATATTCCCCTAACTCCAAAAGTTGTATCTAAAAATAAAAAATCTTTGTCATGTTCACAAAGCAGCTCTTGCAAACAGCATACATTATACTTACACATTATATATATTATATTATATATAATTATATATTATGTATATAATATATATATATAAAAATATATATTATATTATATACTTACATTATAGTTATTGGTGACAGCTGGCATAGAAGCTTTCTCCATACATACAGCCAGTTCAGAAATGTTCCTGTATGTCCAACATACAGGAACAAACAAAAATCATTTGTCCCAGTAACATTCTTGTGCATCTCAGTTCCCTTTGAATACAGCTCAATACAAAATTAACCCCGAGACTTCCACACCTACAGGAACAATCATATTGATGCTGTGTGACGTAAGCAAAGCAAATTAGAAAAGAGCAACCAGAACCACCTAAATTGGGATAAATAAAAGCCAAAATCAATTTATCAGGCTGCCTATCTGCAGTGGTGTGCTCTGCCACCTGAGAGCTGGGTTTGGTTTTAGCACTCACCAAGGGAGCACAGCAGAATATGCACAGTGAGATGTGATTTTACAGTTTCTAAGATGAAGTACATTGATATATGTAATGGAAAGAGATCCAGCTACAACTCCAGCTATGACTGCTGCATTGAAGAAGAGACATACTGCTGCCCTAAACATGGAAAGGATCTTTCCTTCTTCCCTTCTGGGCTTTTATTGGAGGGAGAGGAGATTTGATCCAATGTAAATATTGCTTTATCATAGGAGAGAGAGTTAGGATTGTGTATATAATGTATTATAATATTTATTTGTGTAATAATTGTAATATAATTCCCTTCCCCCCATATTGAGTCTTGTGTTGTGTCTGGAAAAACCCCTCTCACACTGGGGTGAGTTGTGGGAGGGGGGTTTGGACTTGGGAATTGGATTTTTGGGCGTCTCAAACCACGACAATACAAAACCATGCAAAATCTTTACCCACACACTCATCACTACAGCCAAGAGAATCCAAGAGGATTCTCTGGACACAGAGAGCAAGAGAAGCTCTTGAAGGGAACAGGTGCACACAGAAGACAGGGACCAGGAGGCTCTGCAGAAAGATGCTGTTTGAAAGCAGAGCAGGCTGGCACTCACTTCTTTATTCTTTTATTTCCTCCCGAAGGCAGCCTCAGGTGTGTCTGTTCAAAAACAGCAAATTGAATTGAGACCGTGGGCCTGCAATATCATCGAGCACAGACCATCAACCCACCACAGAGGCCAAAAACAGCAGGCCCTTCATCTGCCTTCCACAACAGTGGTGTAAAGAGAGCGCCCCTGTTTTTTGAAAGAATGCAGTTTATCCAGGTTTTGAACAGTGTAACCGAGGGCAGATCCAGCCCAGCTCGCTCAGTGGCCACCAGGGCTCATGCAAAAGATGCCCAGATGTGCAGTGAAGTTGGAAAAAAACACGCTCTGCCTTTTTTAGAGAGTGTGCACAATGAATATTAAACAGCCTCCTGAAGTTCACTCGCCCAGAATCAGCACTGCAATCCCTATTATACACTGCACTAGGTGGAATGCTAATGACTATTTAAACTAATTCAGAGTGGATGTGTAAAGAGCTAGGGCAGTGACAGGGATGCAGTGTATTATAAGTGCAAACTGTGCTGTACCTTTATATATATTCCTTTTCTTTCCTCTTTATTTCAAGCAGGTTTTTTTCTGTAAAAAATTGGCTGTTTGTGACAGCCCTGGAGGACAGAAAATGAGGTTTTCCCATCAAAATAGTTAATATACTCGCAGCCTAATTTTGATTTAGGGAAAAGGAAAAGCTGCCATGTACTAGAATACCATGTCAAAGGCTGGGGAGAATCATAAAGAAAATGGATAGGAAGTTTCATTAAAAGTGTGCTATATGGAAATTCCCTGTAAGCCACAATGCTTTGCAACCTCATACTTGTGTTCTAAATCTATTTGCATCAGATTTCAAAGAACCAAAGTATTAGGAAGCCTCAGCCAGGCAACAGCAAGCAAGTGATGTGACAGCCAATTATTTATGTAACTAGAAAGACTGTATACACAAAGACATACAATCCACATTAGCATATCCCACTTTTTCCTTCTGTATTCTGAAAAATACCACAGCTAACACATCAATCAGCAGTAGAGTCTGAGGACTTCATTTTCTGCAGTTCACTACAGCTTCCACTTATTAACTCGAAAATGGGCTGGTGTCCTTTTTAATTGGTTTTTGTGTGAGGCTTTTTGGGGGGTTTTCTTCTTTCTTTTTTTTTTCTCTGACAGGGTTTCTTGTGGCTTGAAAGAACCAGCATTCAGATAACACTTGTCCCAGGCTGTGGCAAACCACAGTTAATAGGATGTGCTCCACTCTGGTTTTGTGCCTCTGTTCTCTCAGAGGGGGTGTTCCCCAAATCACCACTTCAGTAAATCCCAGTCTAAAATTAACTAATTATTGGATAAATATATCTTCTGAGGAATGTTGCCTTGAAGAGGCAGTCATAACCTAAATTTTTTTGTTGTTGTTGCACAAAACTGAAATGAACTGTGAATTCTCTGACACATATACTGGTACAAAAACATGAGCACCTGACAACAACTGAGTATCCAGAAGAACCTACTTGGTTTCAAAGCAACTTCTACTCTGCCTGAAGAAGAAGCAAGGACTTCCAAGAAGCTGCAATACCTTCAAAGAAAAATGCAAATTGTTAAAACTGAGGACAGACCTAAATTTTTGGATACTCTAAAATATCCTGACACCCTGTTATTAGGTATGACTCTATGCTTTAATTCAAGACACATTAAATATGTATTTAATAATAATAAATTATTTAATTAAATTTATTTAATTAATAATAAATATGTATTTAATGTATCTGTGTTTCTACAGAGCAAGTCCTTGGCTAGAAACGTGTACAAATTTCTACATCACATTCTCCTCTTGGCTGATCAGACCCGTTCCTTACTTTCTTCTTCACCCTTCCATGCTCTAAACAGCTCAGTGGCAGGTGAACTGTGCTTTTTCCCAGGACAGAGGGAGCAAAACTCTTGCTACTGTGGATTTGCAAGATGCTCAGGAAGTGGAAGGGATGGAGAGGGGCTCAATCTTGCTGAATGAATAAGCAATAATGGAGGGAGGAGAGACAATTCATTTAAACCCTTTAAAAAAAAGCAGGTTGCTATCTAGCTGTCCTTGATGTTTACTCAGTTTATAGCATCCTTTTCCCTAATTAAAACAACAGGGAGTCTGTTAATTTTTTTATCAGATGCACACCTACTACTTTACCGCCCTGCATAAACCATTTTAAAGCCAGAGAGCTTATTTTAAAGGTTCATTCTTTCAAGCTGCAATTCTGGGAACAAATTCTGAGCACAGGAAGTCAAGAGAAGCTCGTGTTGTGCTTGCACACAACTCCTGCCAAATACATTCATTTTACGCCAGAATTTCATTTTACCAGCATTTTAGCAACACAATATATGCCCACCTCTGCCTGGGTTAAAGGCCCTAGGGGGGTCTTTCTTAAGAATGCCACCTAATGTCATCTCAACTTTATTTTTATTTTGCTCCAGCCCCTTTACCTTTCAAGCAGATTTTCTTTCATTCACACCCAGAACAGTGTTCAATTCAGAAATCAGATTAAGTGCTTTAAAACACATAATATGCACATTCTGTGGAACAGAACACCAATATATTTTAAGCACAGCGTGTTTTAAAAAGAAATTCACAAAACAGAAAATAAAAGAGCCACGACACAAGCTAAAATTAAGCCTGACATGGAACAGACTTGTCCCCCTTCCCTACAGAAACAAACCAGAAAACAAAACATAACAGCCAAGAAGAACAGCAAAGCAAATGCCAGTGTGATAATCATTTTGTTGGGACCAATTGTTTCTCAAATTTAAGGATTTCTGAGACCCAGATGACTTCAGATTGTAAAAAAATCTGCATGATCAGCATTCAGGAAAAATAATTCCCGCTTTCCTTTTAAATTTTCATGTCTAATTAACAATTAATATGAGCACAATTATGGTTATTTCTGCCTCATGTAAGGAAGCCATCACCACAGTCCCTACACGTTTTCAAATCTTTAAGTCATTCAACGAACACTTCACAGTGGACCCTGATCTCTTTGTGTCTCTGGTGGACATTTAAGCCAAGTATGTGCAAATTCTCATTTTTCTCGCTGATTTCCTTCATTCCTGAGCTTTCTATTGATATAATTCTGCCAGCAGTAACACACACACACAAAAAAAAATTCCTAGCAGGCAAGCATTGCAAATTGCAGTATAAACCTCCTTCAAGAACCTTCCTCATCTGTCCAGAGCTGTTTAACCGTGTGGCTCTTGAGAGCATAGTTTTCTCATCAAGCTCTAAATGGGAAAAAAAAAAAAAAAAGGATTAAGGGCTCTTGAATGGATACTAGAAGTCAAATAAGAAACTGTGGAGGACCATGGAAACTATAGCAACCTTCTGGTAGTGTATCTGTTTATAAAAAGAAAATAAACTGCAGCGTTTACACCAGATAAAGCTGGTGCCTACCACCAGCTTCAGATATAAATCATCACAGCAACTTTGCTCAGGTGATCATAGGGAAGGTTTATTGTCAGTAGTTGCTTGTGATAAAGAAAAACAGTTCTTGTCTAGTAAGACAGACATGAAAAAAATCATTTCCTCGGTCTTCATGTTAACTCAGAGCTTTGCAAGACTCATCTTTGGTAACTGAAGGCACTTTTTTCCTTCAAATAAAGTCAGTGTCATGAGCAAATCATTATCACATACAATTTCTGAATAGTCTCACTTCCAACTCCATTTATCTTAATTTTTTTCTCCTCTGTTTTCAACTGTTATGTCCAGTGGACACTCCAACACCCTTGAGGAGGAGCCATTTTCAAAGAGACATTTCTACTAACAAACAAGAAGTGCAACTGATTTACTGATTTCTATTTCAGTGTTGAGTATTTAATAGTCATCAAGTAAAAAGACACAACCACAGAATAAGCAAACCAAAGGGCAGTGAAACAGATTTTGCTATTTAGGCAGACCCTGAATTACCCTGGGATGTCTTGGGAGCCCACTCAATAGAAGTTTGTCTTGCAGGGGCACAGCAGGGTATGCCAAAAGACTGCACAAGGCTGGTTTGGGGCACAAATGTGAGGTTTTGGGTAGCCAGGGGCTGCAGGGGTGCCCTGCAGGGAGGAATCCACGGGTTTCATTTCAGTCCTGGAATTAAGAGTTTCACAAATATTTGTTTCCTCTAAGTGCTATTATACACATCACTCTCCTGATGTATATAATATATACGTTATATATATAAAATATACATAATATATAGGTATACATATATATAATATATATGTATATATAAAATATATATTTTTATATATATAATATATATATTATATATATATATAATAGTCTTTCTCCTGAAAGACTATTGAATCTGTAAGTTTATGAAGTGTGAGTCATGCAAAATACATGCTGTATGATTCCTTCTCTTTAAGGTAACAAGTAACTGTAGAATAGCACTTGTTTCCAGGTAGACAGCAGGCATTAACACTAGTTACTACTTCATAGGTAGTGTTCTTACCCCTAAGATGGTATTAAATAATATGCCAGCGTGGTGTCAGGCTGAAATATTGGCTGCATTGTCTTTGAGACACCTATATTTGAAGTGTTTATGGTCCTCAGAGATCTTCACTGCGCTGTGAACGAGGTTCCCCCCGGAGTTCTGACTAAATCACATTTTCACAGCTGCAAAAAAAAACCCCAACAAACTACCACGTTTTGCCAACCTAAATTTTCCAATGCACTTTTGTCCAAACACTCTACACTCCCCTGCCTCTCTGCTTGTGTGGCACCTGCAGACACTTTTAGAAGCCCACGTGTTGAGAGGTGCTTGACAAGGTCACGCCACAGCTTCGGTGGGAAACGAGCTTTTATTTCCCCCAGGCTTGGGAAGAGTGCTCCAGCCACATTCCCCCCTAGAAGTACAAGCCATGCACTGTTACTTTGAAGGCTAGACACTGCAGCATTTACAGAAAATATCAAAAAAGATGTGGCCAGTGGTGACTTCAGTGCTGCCAGTTTTAAGGAAAGGTAGCTTTGAACACGGAATCTTTCAGAAGTTGTCACACGTGGAGCTCTTTTTAAGCTGAATTGGAATTTTTACAGGCATGATCATTATTTTCAAGCTTCTGCCTGTTATTGAGGCAGAACTAGTAACTTTGTAGTGAAAGCTTATGATTTCAGGTTGACACATCCCTGAAATAGTCAAGAGAACTAATAACAGGGGCTTCTGCACTCATGACATAATATTTTCCCAGTCCCTCCGTCTTTTACAAGCCTCTCAGTGCACTTGTGACATGCTTGCTTAGAAGGAGAGCACCGTTCAGATCCCACAAGTGCTTCAAAAATGCAGAAGAATGCCCAAAGAAAGAGACAGAACATCCCAGAAAATGGAATTTTTACACCCACAGCAGACAGCTCTTCCACTTTACATGGGACAACTCTTTCTAGGACTCCAAGTCTTTAGAGTCTGAGGAAGGCATGACCTCTTTTTTGGGTTACAATGCTTAAATTTGTGTGGAAAAAACTGCAGACAGACTATATCACCCTCTCTGTGCAAAGACTGGTCTATCCATCACTTGGCACAGCAACCCAGCTGTTGACTCCCCATTCTCAGTGCTTTTTTTCTGGAACTGGAATCCAGTAAATAACTTGCTCTGCAAGGTTGCCATCAATTTTCTTCAAAGAAAGCAGAGCTCTTAGTTAAACTTCAACTGAAATAGAAAGTCTCTTATCTAAGCAACATCAGAGATAACAACAGACTTCAGATATTTTTGTCACCTGAAATTCCCCTAGAAAGCTAAAATAGTGTCCCACTGAAACTTCTCCCAGCTTGTCCACAATGTGAGGTATAGATATCTTGAACACCTTCATGTTTGTACATGTCTTTTCCTGCAGAACCATCTCTTATTCTGATTAAGTCTCATTATTTGAAAGTTATTTGAGATAAGCAGAGCACAAATAAGCACAACCACGAGTGGAGTTACTTAACAATAGCTACAGAAATTAAATTTACATCTGCTTTAATCAGAATTACCTTTCAAGTGTGAACAAGCCCCTTATTACATTGCTAGAAACAGAGGCTGAATTACAATGATCTGTTTGGAATACAGCTGCACAGATATACAAGGAAAAATAACTAAAATGTATTATTTTCAAAAGCACCTTATTAAAGCTTTTAGGCAAAAGTCACTGCCATAATGACACAGAGGACAGGCCACAGAAGAAGCATTTCAAAGCAGCTACACACTCCCCCCTACCTGTGTGAAAAATGCATTATGGAGAAAAAGAATAATTACACACACACCCCCAAGTGGATCATAGTTCATGAAGAAGTCATTTTTAGAGTAGAATCAATATGTCTATAGGCTAAGACAATAAAATATGATTATATGAATTTGTTCAAATAAGTAGATACACACAAACATAACCCCTGTCTCAGCACTTAGCAGTCTTCTGAGCAGTAGGAAGGAATAAAAATTCTTCCATTCCGATTACTTTTTTTTTTGTCTTAACGGTCTTTTCATGTAAGAAGAGCAACAACAGCTATAACTAGTCAGAAGAACACACACAAATTACATCAGCAAGAAGTGACTCCTGCTGGCATGGCAATTCCAGAGGCTGCTGCACTGATCCCTTTTGGACTGCCAGCCAGATTTCTTCCCTCATCTGATATTTTCAAACAACAACTATTGCTCCTTGAAATTATTTCCCTTTGTAGAATTAATGATAGCAGCAGCATAGAAGCACATATGTTTTACAGATTGATTGTTACCACACTTAGCTGACTCACTGGTGTGATCAGACTGGTGTGGAAATCACTGGGGTTCTATGTTGGGACCTTGGAAACCGTAGCAGGGCCACAGCTTGAATGCTGAAGTGCCTAATGGGAATTTTTAAACAGTGGCTGTTGATCACTCCCTGGAGAGAGCAAGAGAACAAGTCGATTCAGTTTGAAAAAAAAAAAAAAATCTGACTCATGTGCTGTGTAGAAATGAGGCAGAAGCTGCGTTCAGCAAACTGTTGATGCATAAAAATCAACATCAAGGAAACTGAGTTAAAATTGTTGCAAACATTTTATAGAGGAACAACGAGGAAAACGAAAAAGAAAATAAATAGAATTTGAGGGAATGCAATCAGTCTCTATTCATCCCTTTTCCATTATTTTCTTTTTTTTAAGTTTGTTCTGTGTATATTTTATCCTTCAGCTTTTAATGTGTGAAATCTGCTGCTGTGGACAGAAGGACATTGCACATCCTCACTTACAATGTGAAAGATGATGGTGTAAAGAAACAATAGTGCATAAATTTGAACTAATTTGAATGGCCTTTCACCATTATGCAAATGAAGATAACACTTCTCTTACATTTACAGACGTTTCAGTTAAAGAACTTGTGGTTTAGGTGATACATTAATATATTTTAATTTATGGCTGACTATAACTGAAGTATATTTAATGTATTTATATTGCCCCTTTTATTCTGTCCTTCACTTTTGCTGGTAGTTTTGAGCATAAAGAAATGACTGCAATGGAATTGTACGTATAAAGATTATTGAAAATAGCAATTGAAAAATAAGGAAAGAATAAATAGTTTCATTAAGAAGAAAAAATATTCTGCAGGATTCACGCCAACATCCATAGGAACTCCAGGTACAAAAGGCTTTCAGGGCTGGGCCATCCACCTCAGCTCTGGCATGAATTCTACTGGCTGTAGTAGTAGAAGTTTTCATTGTTAACAAACTAAACACATTATTTCCACTGGAGAGGATTTGAAAGGCCCTTGTAGGAGAGCCAGCTGGAAAGCTGTGATCTCTGAAGCTCCTGGCAGAGAGGTCACAGGATGGCCATTAGACACTTTATCTTTAGACTCCTTTTTCTTATTTAAATAATTTCTCAAGGAAATCTTCACTAAGTGAAAACCGTGGGTTACTTCATCAGAGTTTGGCTCATGCACCGTCTCAGTCAGCCACACAAAATTAGGAGATAATTAGGCAACACTTATTGTGGCAGGAAGAATATTCACCACCTCAACTTCTCAGCCATTTTGAAAGGCAGAAGGGATGACGTGGGCCATGGATTTGTGGTCCTCAGGACACAAGTGGTCAGGCAAGCTTGTGAGAAAATCAAATCTACCTCTTTTTGAGGAAAGGCCTGAGTTCCTAATTGATCCCTCTAGCAAAGAGGCTCAAGAGATGCCTGATGTTACTGATGCTGCTCTTAATCATACACCAGGAAACAAAAGAAATCTGTTTCAAGTGTGTGCTAAAATCAACTCGAAGCTGTTTGTCTCCTGCAAAAATATGATACCATCCACTGGTCTCAGGAAGGGAATCCTTAATTGTAGCTAAATGTCAGTGCTGCCACACATAAAAGAGCCATTTGAACTGAATCCATCACAAAGCACACATCCAGCTCTCTATGAACACAGAAAAGAGAAATAGTACCTGGGAACTACTCTGCTTTACTCTACTCTACCTACTGACTATTTATTCTACTATAACTTCTCATAGTATGTTTTTCCTGCACAGCAGAATACTGGAGGGAGAGAAGAGGGAGGAAGTAAAAAAAAAATGAATACTATCGAAAGATTTCAAGAAAGTTTTTGTTTGCCTTGCAAGACACCAGGGCGAGAATCTTAAATAACGAGGTTTAATTTGGCATGAACCAAATGCTTTTCTTCACATTCTTCATTTCTTAATCCTCGGATCTGGTTTACACTAATGATAATTAGCTTTACTTTCTAAGAGCCTTATCACTAACAAGATACAAGACAATTTTCTTTGGCCTGTCTGGATTGCCGCATATCTTTGATTTGCTTTTTGACCGTGTCTCATCTATTTAAGTAGTAATTTGCTTCCTCCTAGTTCTTTTTAAGAAAGATTCAAACTAGTGGCACTCAGACCAAATAAGCAGCATCTTCACATATAATTTATTATTGTGGACATGGAGATGGCCATCTCTGTTTTTCATTTGCAGCACACAGAGCAGGGACCTGCAAAACAGAAATAGATTAAATACAGAGGGTTCTTACTAAATTAGTTCTCTTTATGCCTTGAGGCTATGTTAACTAAAATGTGGGCATTTCAATTAATATTGTTATTTTGTTGTGGAGTGAGTTTGTAACTACTGCTCTCTGTGTAGGGTTTGCATTACAAAACTAAAATATGTCAAACAGAATCGGAGAAATATTTTTTCTCCATATGTCATTATAATCACTAAACTATTAGAGTAGATTTTTAATTACATTTCCATTATCTGTGCTGTGAAACAACAGTTAATCAATATGCAACACATACCAATACTCAGATACTGCAGCCAGACTTATGAAGCTCTCAGTCTGGTAAATAACCTCGAATAATTTTTAAAGGGAGTGAAAAAGCAAAACTTAGGCAAGTTTTGAAATGGTGATATCTCCTCCCTCAGGGAAAAACAAAGAAAGAAACAAAAAACCACAAAACCACCAACAAAGCAAACCAACCAAACAAAATCCCCAAAACAACGAAAAAAATGAAACACAGACAAAACCTCAAACCAAACAAAAATCACACACAAAAAAAAATAGGAAGCAAAAATGAAAAGACACAACATCAGGAGACAGAGAACACACACCAGGTAGCAAAAAGGGAGATGAACCCAGCATTTGCAAAATCACTTTCAAGGCTGCGAATGATTTCCCTTGCTGGTCGGAAGAATCACTGCCACGATGCTGTGATGAAGCACAGAATAAGAAATCCAGGATATTGTGACTCTAAGGAAAAAATGAGAGGCAGACATAAAGGAAAAAAGCTCTTACGGAATCATGGAATGGTTTGGGTTGAAGAAACCTTAAAGATCATCTTGTCCCAACACCCCTCCCATGGGCAGGGGCACCTTCCACTAGACCAGGTTGCTCCAAGCCACATCCAACCTGGCCTTGGACAGGGAGTCCACAACTTCTCTGGGACACTTCTCTCACCGCCCTCACAGAGAAGAATCCATCTTATCTACAGGACAGTACACAGTTTTACTCCTTTTAAATTAATTACAACAGCAGTTTGAAAACTACTCATTCTTAGCTAGCACTTATCAGGATGTTTTTACCCTGGAATTGCAAACACTAATTTATTTTCAGCTGATAAGTAATAACCACGTTAGCTCTAGCGAAACAATGCTCAGATAAACAAGAACAACAAATACCCTTGTGCTAAATAAACAGCATATTGTGCAGTAAATTGATAATAACGTGTTGCTTTACAAATAAACACCACATGCTTTAGACAGCGTTTATGGTTTTGACACAGGTCACACCTCTGTTTGTCAGACACTTTGTTCACCTGCTGTAAATAAAGGAATTAAGGTTGCATAATTACAGCTGGTATTTTGTTTCACTAGTCAACACAGCACAAATAAATTAACAGGCATCCTTGCGTAATTATTGCTCTTCCTCCTCAAATGGTAGGAATTTGAATTTCTTACTCACAGCACAAAGTAACCCAACTCTTGATTAATTAAATATTAGCTAAGTTTCTCTCTTCAACTGTAAATTGCCCTGCAGTGAAGAGAGTGCCTTCCATCTTGAATCACGATTAATAATGCAAATGCACTAATTGATTCTCCTTAAGATAATGAAAAATACATCACACTGACAAGTGTGTTTTTTAAGTTAACCACATTTTTATATTTGTGAGCAACAAAGAAAAAAGGGGAAAGAAGAGGAAGTTTGCCTGTTCACAGCACACACTGAAGAATTATGTGGTTTTAGTAGCCTTCACTCTTAGTCAGTACCTCAAGAGATACGGATTCTTTCTTCCCACCAAGTCAGTGGAATTTATATCTGTATTTTTGTTAAGTATACATTAATGAAAGGCTTTAAGCTTCAGCTTTCAGGAGGTGACTGCTAATTTTGAGTGTCTCCCCTTTCACAGAACACGTCAGTGTACAGCTGCCCTTGCCTCTATTCTTTCTCTGTAAAACAGGGGGTGGCAGCAGTACTTGTATTCTAGCAACACTCAAGAATCGCCATCAAGAGTCAGAAACACGCTGTTTGAGGGTTTTAGAGAATGCTTTGGCAAATATCCTGAGCAGGAAGTTGCTGTTCCTCAATTGTGCACCGCTGAAACCAGGTGCTGAGGATATGCTGCTTCAGCCAGGGAGGCCAAACAGAATAAATAAAGCGAGGTCTGCAGGCAGTCTTGACTGGCTTGGAAGGAAGTATTACCAGCTCTCCCAGAGAGGCTGGGCTCCTCAAGAGATTTCATATCAAGTCAAGGAAGAATAAGCTTTTCAGACACTAGGCACAAGGTCAGCCACGTGCAGACTGGCCCAGGGCAGTATCGGCTGAGTTTGTGACCCCACACTGCCCAGTCTTTGCCATCAGCAGTCTTACTCCTGCCTGTGCTCCCACTTGGAGGCTGTGGCAGCAGATGCCCTGCAGTGGTGTGACTGCCTCCCCTGCAGGCTCTGATTTCCAGCTGCAATGGCAAGGGCCCTGCTCCAAGCTCCGCTGATGATCAAGCGCTGAGCTGTGCCCCTGAACCCTGGTAATGCTACCCAAAGGTTTTGCTGCAGCTGTAACACAGTGAGGTCATGGCCTGGCCGCTTCAGCTTCAAGATGAAGAGCAAAGCCTGTCAAAATTCGGCAGCTCTCCCTGCTTTGCTATGTCCTGCAGTAGTCAAGGGTAGGCAGCACATTCCCATCAGTACTGCTGAGGGGCCTGCAGAAGGCTGCTGCACAACCCACAGTTCTCTTTATGGGCTGCTAGTAGAAGAAATGTGTTGGACAGTATAATATATAACTGTTAAGTGAACAAAGAAGCCTGATGAGAACAACAATGGGGAATTAATACTGCCCAAATTTTTTCAGAATCATAGAATCACCTAGGTTGGAAAGGACCTTTAAAATCATTGGGTCCAAGTGTATCTAGCAGATTGTTAAGTTTCACAATTTTCAGAACTTCTTTACTAATTTTTACTAATTTGAATTCAACACCTTTTAAATCAAAGTCTCTGTGAGGACGTACTGAACTGCAAGACTCAACCTGCTCTCTCCTGGTAATACAAAAGCAGTGGGCTTAACCCAAAGCATAGGATACAAATTTGGGATAACATTAACATAAAGACACTGGGACAGTTTGCCAAGAAACTTTGGAGCTAATATAGTCAGAGAGTTTCACAAAGCAGAATAACTTCTGGAGGTCCCCTCAGTCCTGTTCTCTCTGACACGTCTTTTTCTCTGCCCCCTAAGAAAAGCGCTCTTGCCCTTATAAACTTTCAGCTAACGCAGTTATCCAAGAGACCACAATACTCTTATGCGACCTTATTTTAGGGAGAACTGTTCACTCACTTCTGCGTGCACATGATGCACTCACATGAGCATTTGCGCTGCTATTCAGCTGCCAAAGCACCGTGAAGTTCTGCTTTTGCTTGAATAAGGAAATCGGACCTTTGCTTGAATAAGGAAACCGGGTCTGGTGTGCGTTTTGTGCGAAACAGCAGCTCGAGAGCTCCTCGGAAAGTTTTCTCTCTCCGCGTGCCGCGGCCTCCCGGTGTGAGCCCCGATTCGGGGACACATCCCCGTTCCTGCCAGCGCACCATCCCGGGCGAGTTCCGTGTGACTTTCCCGTGTGACTTTCCCGTGTTTTCCGGGCACAAGCCGCACGCTGGCAGTGGCCGAGAGGCGCACAGCGGTTTCGGCCCGCGGGTTTCTCGCTTTTTCCGTCCCAACTCCCTCTTCTCTCCTCGCCCGGGGGGGCCGCTCCCCGGGACGGGGACGGGGACGGGGACGGGACGGGGACGGGGACGGGGAGGGGGACAGGGACGGGGACGGGACGGGGACGGGGACGGGGACGGGAGGGGGACAGGGACGGGACGGGGACAGGGACGGGACGGGGACAGGGACGGGAAGGGGACAGGGACGGGACGGGGACAGGGACGGGACGGGGACGGGGACGGGGACGGGACGGGGACAGGGACGGGGACGGGGACGAGCCGCCCGCGCTCCCTCCCGGCCCCGCCGCTTCCTCGCCGTCTCGCACTCCCCTCCCTCCCGCGGCTTTCCCCGCCAGCTCCGCCTTTCCTTTCCTTCCCTTTCCTTCCCTTCCCTTCCCTTCCCTTCCCTTCCCTGCCCTGCCGTGCCATGGCGGGGCCGGTCACGCAGCAGGTCGGGCGGGCGCGGGGCTGCGGGCGGCGGGGGGAGCCGGCGGGGCTGCGGGAGGAGACCGCCCGCTGCCCGGTGCTGGACCGGGACGGCAGGAGCCTCCCCTTCCAGGCCCTGTACGGCGATCGGAAGGCGATCGTGGTGTTCGTGCGGGTGAGCGGGGGGGACACGGCGGGGCTGGAGGGGGAGCGGGGGGGGAACGCAGCGAGCGGGTCAGCGCTGCCCCCGCCGTCCATCCGCGCCTCGGTAAAGTGATAACGCTGTTTACCAGAAAGGAAACACTCCTTGTTTAGGGAAACAAGTATCGCGTTCCCCTGATTTCCCAGCTGCTGAGCCCAGCTATCGCATTGCTGCGATATCTAGAGATAAAAATATTAGCAAGGCCGCGGGCCCGGCGTCCTTGTTCTTGCTCGGATTAAACCGGTATCCCAATCCAAATGTGGTGACTTCAAAGAGCTGGAATCTTTCTCGTTCCTGGTTCCTGTTCGCCTCCCAAGTGTTGTGTGCCCAAAATCAGTAATCTGCTGCTTCGTTGCTATGCAATTACATCTGTTTCTGATACGTCCAATTGGCTGTGTTGCAGAATTTTTTGTGTTACACCTGTAAGGAATATGTAGAAGATCTGGCAAAAGTTCCCAAGGCGTATTTACAAGTAAGTGTTCTACCCTTAATATGTATGTGGGGTTGCTGCAACCAAGCTGATTTGTTGTGTCCAGCTACAGGCCTGCATGAGGCTTCCAGGAATAAAAAAAGTGGCTCAGAAGAAGCACTTTCATTGTTTGCTACAACAGCAATAATGAATCTGCCTGGGAGACACGGGAAAGGATTTATGGCACTACACGCTCTGTTGCAGCAGCATTATTTCTCCCTGCCCTATTAGCTTGGTGCTCTTTTTAGTGCTGTTTTAGAACAGCTAGACAACATTTGACAGGCATTCCTTCTGGTATTAGTGGTGCCCTGGACAGCTGTCTTCTCCTGACTACTAACTACTGCCCTTTCCATTATGCTGGCAGGGCTGACTGATGGTTGTGCGTGGAACAAGATCAGAAAATTGATCTGGATTAAACCCCGTATCTTTTCCTATGGTTATTTGTGAGCTGCATCAGTGGTGTGACCTGTTCTCTGGGCAGCTGCACAAACAGGAATGACACAGTGACAGAAAGGAGGAGTGGGCAGGGGTTGCTGTGGACAGGTATTTGCTGGGCGGTGGGAGACACCGGAGGCGACAATGATCTCCTGCTAAATGTGGAAGGTCAATCTGTCTCTTCCAGGCTGATGATTGAAATTCTGTCGTATTTTTCTCCCAACAGCAGCACAGTCAGTGACAGAGACTCAGGTCATGGCTGACAGCAAGTCCATCTAAATCCATCTGAGATGGGCTAGGAACTTGAGGATAAAAAGGGGAGATGTCTTTGGCAGCTTCTCTTCCCAGGACAGATATTTCTGAACTGTTTGACCAGTGTTACTCGGAGTGACATTTTCTTAATTTGACTCCTCAAATAAATGTATGTAGAGAATCAAAATCTGCCCATGCTTTTCTTAGTGGGAGTATTTTGTTTTTAGGAGGGCTTCTTTTCATAAAAAGCAAAATGATTCTATATGGGAAAGGCAAGTATTACACGCTAATGAAACTACCTTATATTTTATTAACTGGTTTTACTGGCATCTAAATGAACTCAAGTTTTGGCCTCTATATAAGGCTCAGGCCTAATGTTGCACCTGCAAGAGACAGCAGTATGTGTGAATGTAAGTTATATCTATTAATGTGTGTCCATATATGTAAATCACAGATATTTGGGCACAAGTATTTCTGTGCTGCTTCTTGAGGTAGGTGCAATTGCGTGGAAATTTTGAATTTCCAAAATCATAGCGTGTTGCAATCAATCAGAAAGACAGTGCTACCTACCAATGCTACAGGAAACTCAAAGTTTACACATCTGTAATTCAAAGGGTCTCTTTAAAAATAAGTTATCACTTAATAAATTAATGTTGCTTCTGACTGTGGGTGATAGCCAGGGTGAAGTCTCCAAACACGTGATTTTAATTTCAAATAATTTTAACTCGGTGCACTGTGATTATTAACTCAGGACTCCAGATTCTGCTAATGCTTCCAAGTCGTGCAGAAACACTGAGTTCCTCTTTACAACTTCAATACCCTTGTTCTGTTCTAGGAAGCAAATGTGAGGCTTATAGTTATTGGACAGTCATCTTATCATCACATCAAGGTAAATAAAGTAGACATTGAAGGTGTCCTCTCTTGTGTCTTAATGGTCTGTATTGAGGGATTTGCTCTGAGTGAAAAGATGGTCTTTTGCAACTGCAGAAAAAAAGGATGGTATTCATGAGGCAATTCTAATAGCAACACATGAGTAAAGCAAATAACTAAAACCTTCAATTTAAAAACCACCAGGGCTTGCTAAGAAACATCTTTTCTTGATTTCACTGGAAGCTTTGTTTCAATAAAAGCTTTGAGGCTGAAAATTTTTGGCCTTTAATTTAACATGACAAATACACAGCTTCCAAGTAAGAGGGAGGAGGGTGGAGCTGGCAGGGTATCAGTACTTTTTCTGTTGTCAGCAGACCCTAACCAGTTACTGCCTTAACCTTAAAAATATTACTTTTTTTTATATGTGTGTGTGTGTATGCCTATATTTTGCAGCCCTTTTGCAGTTTAACTGGGTATACACATGAAATGTATGTAGATCCACAAAGGGAAATTTATAAAACGCTTGGCATGAAAAGAGGTGAAGGTAATAACATATCAGGTAAGAATAATTTTCTCACCTTATTTGGACTTACACAAACAAAACATGAATGCTCTGATAAAATAGTACGATTGCAATGTAAATAGAAAGCGAGTTGCCCACTAGATTGCCTCTTGTGCAAATACTGGTAATCAGGAATCTCTAAACTATTCAGAGCAGCTGCTCAGTGCTCTTGTTCTTACATACTTTTGTGTTTATAGATAACAATGTTTTGTGGTTTTGTTTAGTGCGGAGCCCTCACGTGAAATCAAACACCCTTCTGGGAAGCATCAGGAGTATATGGAGAGCAATGACTGGCCCGGCTTTTGATTTCCAAGGAGACCCTGCTCAGCAGGGAGGAGCTTTGATCATAGGCCCAGGTGAGCTGCTTTGTTTTGTGTGAGAGTCACAGCTCCCTCCTTCAGCTGTTTGCTGCCAGCTCGCCCGCTGTCCCTGTGGATTCGGAGGAGACAGCCTTGTGTACGACTGCGTGATTTTTGTGGCATGAAGGAATCTGCAAAGTGTCACTGCCTAGTCCCAGCTCCCACAGAGGTGGCACAAAGCTCATCACAGTCCTGCAGGGATTGATTGGAGTGCTGATGGAACAACTGCCTCGAAATTTGGAGGGGTTTTTTTGACATCATGGTGTTTACCTACAGTCTGTTTTCACGTTTTATTCGAGGCATCTGATGTTGTTTAGTAGAGGAGTAGTCCAGGAAGGGGGAGCTGCAACATGACAGTCATCACATTGGGAAGAATTTCTTTCCAGAGACATTGGATTGGGCTGCCCAGGGAAGTGGTGGATTCTCAGTCCCTGGAGGTTTTTAAGAAGAGACTGGATGTGGCATCAGTGCCATGGGCTGGGAACCACAGTGGGGTTGGATCAAGGGTTGGACTTGATGATCTCAGAGATCACTTCCAACCCAGCTGATTCTATGATTCTATGATTAGGAAACATCATAGAATACAGCAGATTTAAACTAGTTAGGTGCCTCAACGTTCCTTGCTTCTTTAACATAATTTAAAAAAAATTTGTCATTGTTTAAAATACAGAATAGTGTGCAATCTACAGATCTAGTACACATCTGTACAAGAACTAGTAGGAAGTCAGAATGCTGCTTTGATTCGCTTACATATTTGAATAAATTAATATTTTATTTAGTAATTTACATATTATTCTCATTCCTTTCCAGGCAATGAAGTTCATTTTTTGCACCTTGATAAAAACAGGCTGGATCATGTTCCCATTAATACAGTTTTGCAGCTGGCAGGAGTTAAAACTGTGAATTTCTCAAACAAACCCCAGATCATTGACATATGACACTGACATACTATATACTTTTTTTTAAACCTGTGCTCTACAAGAACAATTCTCCAGTGAATTCCAACAAGCATTGGTAATGTTGTGTCTTTGTAGGACATCTGAAACCTTATCTAGAAAATCAGAGCACCGAATAAACTACCTGGCACTGAAGACAGACACAAAAGTGCTATTCCCAATGAGATAATAAAAACTAAAACACAACTGGGGCTGATGGCAAAAAATCCTGGGGCTTATTATTGTATCATGAAACAATCTTGCTAATATATTTTAAAAATCATTGTTCCAGATGCACTAAACTAAAAAAATCTGATTTTGGTCAGGAAGAACATGCCTTCAGCAGATCAACACTAACTTTCAAACCAATACTTCTCAGCACTGTTTTAAAGCTTCAAGCACCGTGTGACAATCTTGTATTAAAATATACCCTGAAAAGTCACAGTGTTGAACACTGGGGCTTAAGCTTATACCTACTTTTGCATCTGACACTGGCAGACATTATGAAATGCATTTCATAATTTTAAATAAATATTTTAAATACATCATCCATTGTCTGCAATTCTTTGTGTCATACAAAAATGTGGGTCTGTAAGACCAGGAAGAAGTGTGTCTTAAACATACACCTCATCAGACTATAGGTTTTGGAGTAAACTATAGTCAATGACGTGTTTTCCTAGGAAGATTTACAGCAGAGTGTTCTTCCTTTGGATGTATGTACTTTCAGAGCGAGAGGTCTCAGAATAAATTCTCCTTATTTATTTGTGTCTTAGACAACTGAACTAAGGATAACAGCAGTTTGGGTTGCAGTTCTGTCAGATTTCATATTGTCCATTTTTCTAGAAATGTTTATGTTCAGAGTCTATTGCTTTCATTAAAGTAGATGTGCCCTCTTTCATCCACCAGTCACTTCTTTTTAGCAATTTGAAGAGGAAAAAAACTGTCCGAGATTTATGGAGGAGCATATCCTCCTCTGCAGTTTCTGATCTTTGGCCTTCTGTTAAATGCTACTGTATAAACATATCTCAACTGAAAATTCTCTCCCCTTTTAAGCTTTAATGCAATTTTAAAATGGCATTTTGTGAAGAGGTTTGTTCCTACATCCGTTAAGGTCACTGGCAGGCCCAGAGCAGGCTCTGAAAAGCATGTGAAATTAAATGCAGAGTTCCTTGATGAATAAGAAAAAGCTTGCTTAAGAAACATACTGAGCAATGTAATTCTATTAAAGACACTATACCTTAGCAAGTTATTAATTACATCCACATTTTGATACAATGTGTTTCTGAAGAGAAAGACTGATGAATACTCAGTTTATTTGTAGTGCTTCCACTCTGCTTCATTCACTTGATAATCACAGCCAGGGACACTGACTCTAGTTCCACTTTGGTTTTGCAATCATTTCACTCTCTTGGTGCTTTTGATTTTAAAGGAAGTTTTTGGCTAGCTGTTTTCCTGCTTGTTTTTAGTAAAATTAACATACAATGGTGATAGTTCTATTGCTGCTAATAAATACATTGAACAAAACTAGCTATAGCTAAAAGAACTGTGGCCTATTAAAAGGGCTTGGATTGAAGTTGCAGTTTGACAGCTCTGTAGGTTGAAGTCATCCACCCTCACCATCTCAATACTGACAGGAACCACATCACGGCCTCTGTGTTATCCCAGCAAAATCACTTCTTCAGAAAGACTCACGAAGTGCAGACAAATGAGAAGAGGCAAGAAGACAGAGAGGAGGATTGGGTAGAAGAGAATCATGGTATAGGCCCTGCATTTTGCATCTGTCTGGCCGCAGCTTCACTAAGTTCACTGAAGACAATGACTCCCACGTGCATAATGAATTGGAACGATGATGGCGACATTCAGAGCCGGGAGAATTGGTTTTCGAAGCGTCAGCAGAATTTTAGGTCTCTGGTGTTATTTAGCAAGAATATTTTAAGAAACGTAAGGCAGCGGAAGGTGGAAGCCAATAGGTGATAAACACTGATCACACACTCAGCAGAACACTTCAGCAAGGGCTTCCTTCCACCAAGGCCAATTAGAAGGAGGAGGGAAGGGAGCAGTTTTCAGAAGTTCTTTTAACTCTTAGCTTGATTTATTGCAACACCCCATTTCAAACAACCGTGTGTTTTCAAGTATCGCTGTGTCTTAAGCAGCGGCTTTAAACCCAGCTATATTAACCCTCCAGAAGGCTGCATGTCCCGGGCTGGTTTCTGCCGGCCTTGCAGCATCACGTCCTTTGGGGACCGTCTCTCGGTGCTCCTGGAAGGCTGTGAAGCCTCAGAACCGGGCAGCGGGCCGCGCTATGGAAGGGGAGCGGACCCGCAGCGCAGGGGGGTCCCCGCCGTGCCGGTCCCGCCGTGACCCCTCACGGCAGCGCCGGGGGTCGGGCCCGGGTCCCCCCCCCCGGCCCGGCCCCACCTGTTACCGCGCGGCCACAACGGGGCGGGAGGGGGTGCGGCCGGCGGGGCTGAGGCGGGCGGGGCCGAGCCGAGCCGGGCGGGCCTGAAGCGGGGCCGGGCGGGGCCGAGTCGGGCGGGGAGCGGGCGGTGCCCGCGGGCCGCGTCAGCCGCTCGCTCGGGGTCCCTGCGCTGCCTCGCTCGC